TTGTTTCTACTCCCGGGCAGGTAAGCGCCACTCTGGTTCTGCTTCATGGGAGCTGTGAGGAGGAAATAGGTGAACTTCTCCTCTTCTTGCCTCTCCCATCTGAGTTCACCCTGGTCAACCCTTTTTTTCTCTGGCCTCCTGAGCACCAAGCGAGGCTGCAAGGTGAATATCAACCTGTGTGGGCACACAGGACACTTTGTGCCATTCTGCAGCTCAACAGGAGGCCACCTCATCACTCCCCGTCCCCTTCCCGGGTCAAACTCCCTGAGATCCAAATTGGGAGCGGAGCCTTGCAGGTAAAGCGGAGGGGGCCGTGCCTCAGAGGCTGGGCGTAGGCCAGGGAGGAGGAGGCTGAGGCCCACTGAGAAGAGTCAGCCTTGGAAGGGATTGATCTGAGTGAGAAGTGAGCAGATCACTGCTGGGCCCGCTCAGCTGTGACAACCCAGAGATGTCATTGCTGCCTGAGTTGAGGAAGCAACAGGAGACAGGACGATTTGGGGCTAGTGGCTCTTGACTCAGTTTCAGCTGCCCAGAGGGTGGGTCTTGGGTGTCTGAGTGATCTTGGGGAGATCAGGGACGGGGACAACTCGGCAAGCAGAACCCTGGGGCAGAGAGAGGGAAAGGGGCACCCCTGTACCTGTTCTAACCCAAAGGAGCCATCTGTTGTTTTCCCTCTAGAAAACAAGCTAGTTGGTCTTTAAAAAATTTTGGTTTTCATGTTCATTTATTTACTTTGAGAGACAGAGTGAAAGAGTGCAAGCACAAGCGAGGGGCAGAGAGAGAGAGGGAGAGAGAGAGAATCCCAAGCAGGCTCTGTGCTGTCAGCACAGAGCTGGACTCCGGGCTCGATCTCACGACTGTGAGATCATGACCTGAACCGAAATCAAGAGTTGGGTGTTCAACCGACTGAGCCACCCCGGTGCCCCATAGTTTTTGTTTTGTTTGTTTGTTTCTTTGTTTGTTAATAAACTTAATTTTTTTTTGCAATAATTTTAGATTTATAGAAAAATGGTGACGATAGCACAGAGAGTTCCCGTAAACCCGTCGCCGGTTTCCCCGATGATTCACATCTGCCATTTGTACGTGTACCTTTGCTACAGCTGATGACCCAGGTGCCATGCCCCCAGGTCCCCAGGACAGTCGGGGAGGAGAGGGCCCTGCAGCTCTGGTGGGAGCAGAAGGAAGACTCCAAGGCCCCTGGTGATCTGGGGGTTCAGGAGACAGAGGAAGCTGAATGGACCAGGCCCCAGAGGTCCATCCGACCTCCTGCCACCAGCCAGACTCCTCATCTATCCCCGCCAGGCTCTTCCTGGCACATGCAGCCCTCTGTGGGTAGCCTGTTGGGCCTGGGAAGCCTGCAAAAAAGTCTTTCTTCCAGGTGCTGGGTTGCAGGATCCTTGGGGAAAAGTCCCTCCCAGGATCGCAGTCGGCACTGAGCAGGATTTCCCTTCGTTCAGCCCCTGGCTGTCCAAGCCCTTCCTTTCCTGGTCCTTGCTTTCTCTCCGCAGTGTCCCCACCTCTCCCTTCACTGATCGCCTGTGGGTTTGTCTATGGGTCCCTCTGCAGAAAGCAGCATGCCTCTTCTCAAGGCAAACCCCTGGGGCGGTTGTCATCTCCCACATCTCTGAGCATCCCAGTTGTCCCCCGGATCTAACCGAGTGGGGGCGGGGGGCAGCTGCCAAGGTTGGCCCCTGGGCTTAAGAAGACTATGTGGGTGTGCGCCCTCCCTCCCCCGCTTCCCCTGTGCTCGTGTGGCACCTTTGCCAGTTTCCTTGCTGCTTCCTCACAACACTATGACACTGGAAGGACAGATGTTTTCAGTCCCAGGAGAGAGGCACAGAGGTCAACACCTTGACTCAAGTCCCACAGATATGCTTTCATGGCCCCCTATCTCACGCCTCCAAGGCCTTAGAACATTGGCAATTCTGTGTTTGACTGATTACTGTGATTCCTTGAATTCTCTCTTTCCCTCCAAATAAGACGGCTCTGGCCGCCACCATATCCCTACCGCCTTGCCCCACTGCCTGGTACTCAGGAGATTCTCAATAAATGTTTTTAAATGATTGAATAAATGGATGAGTTAGAGGGAGAACATTCATCCGTGCATTCAACGACAGATTGTCAGGCCCTTTGATGGTTCCTGGGGTTAAAAGATGAACAGGATATAATCCCCACCCTTGAAGAAATCAGTCTTGTGAGGAAGATAGACTTAAAAACAAAAGATTACACGAAATTACACACGATACCGTAATGGAGGGATGTCTAGGCGTGTTCAAGTGCTAGGAAAGAACTCTCCTATAAACTCTCCCTGGAGGATCAGGAAGGCTCTGGGGAGGAGGGGGCTTGTAGGGTAAGTGGCAGTGCCTCTCCTGGAGTGGTGGGGGTGGGCAGGGTGGAGGAAGGGCATTCCTAGGCCAAGGGGCCACAGTGGGCCCTACAGGGACCTGACTTTCTCAGAAAAGGCCCAGGGGAGCCTGTGCGGGCAGGACTTGAAGCCAGGCTCTTGGATCTTTCCCTTCACCACATCGCAGTTGGAGATTTCCCACATGTGCCCTCAAGGATCGGGGTCCGGGAGGATTATACCCACTCCCAAGACAGGGTGCGGGGACTACTGGCTCCCTGTCATTCTCCTTTGACGATGGCCTGCCAGGAAGATCTCTTCTGGGAGGGAGTTCCACATCTGAGGCAATCTGAAACAGTCTTATGAGATTTCTGAAGCCGAAAGCTCAAAGAGAAGCTATCCGGCCAGCTCCCTCCTCTCTCGCAGCTTGCAATTCCAGCCAGCACATCGTGGAGCCACCGGGTAGCAGCTGTCTGTGGACAATTTCATGCAGTCCTTTCCCACGTTTACTTCCTGTCTCTTTAACAGGATTTAGCTCAGGTTTGTTTGACTTTTACTTCCAGAGACCGCTGCCTTTCCCACATGTTGCCGTTGTGTTTGGGTTGTAGGCAAGATCTTAAGAGTGCACACATGTACACAAAAGGAGGGAGTCGGTACTCTGGTGGGGGTGGGGGGCAAGGCGGGATTGGGATATTTCAGGTGTGTCTGCAGTGGAGGAGGGTCCCAAATCACGGTGACAAGTGCCCCTGGAAGGTGGCGTCCGCTCAGTGGAGAAAGGCAGGCCACGGTGTCAGTGCGGCTGGAGTACTTTCAAAGAGGAATCTGGTAATTTGGATTTAAAAATGCCTTCATGGATTTACTTTTTATGCTACCCATACGTACACCATCCTCACCCACGGAGGATTCCTGGATCCCTCCTCCCCTGACGTTTTTACATCAATTTTATTCTTACTTGTGTCTTTACAGAAAATGGCACAGAAATCACAGGTTTGGAAGAGCTAGAAGTTATTACAGTTCCGTATTTCGAACACCTCAATATCAAGTTTCTTTCTTCCCACTCTATGTACAGTATTTACACGGCAGGGGCTACAGTCTAACACTTCAAACCAACTGGGGACAAAGACAAGAAGAAGAAGAGGGGGGAGTTCCATGAACGGGATGAGGAAGAAATCAACTGTTGATACGGAATTAAAACCCCAACTCACTGTCTCAGACCTTCCTCTTGCGAGGTATTCCCTGCAAGGGTGGGTGGCATGGCAGAGGGAAATGTCAGGGGGGTGAGGGAGACCTGCGTCTGTCCCGGGGGCAGCTGCAGGGAGGCCACCCGTATGGACAGTTCCTCTCATCCGCAGACAGGAAGAAGCACCCTGTCACCTATTCCTACACGGTCACTATGTCCCTCCTATTCTAGCGGGCAGACAACACGCATACACCGGGCATGGTTTGAGTTAAACACCGGCTCCTGCTTTGCTCTCCTTTGAGCCCTTTCTCTTTCTCACCCTTCTGGTGACCACTCCTTGATGCCTATAATAGCCCCAGGCCCCCTCCAAGCTTGGCCTCCCGAGGATGGTCTGGATCAAGTGGAGTCGAGATCTGTGGCTTCTTATGGGTTCATTTTACAGCTGGATTGGGGTGCTCCAAGGCAGGACACATGCGAACCGATAAATTGCAAGAAGCTCTAGAAGGGTGTCTTGCATGGCAAGTCAGGGTCACAGGCATCACACCAGGGGGGTCAGGATGCTTCAGAACGCAGGCCCCAGGGCTCCGGGTAAGAGTTCAGCCTCCCCAACAGTGCCATGACCACAGCATTTGTGACGTGTACCCCCTGGCTGCAGGGCCCAGGCCCAGGACTCTACAGATATTGTACATGGCCCCGTGCAGTGCTGGGACCCATGCTGGGGGGAACGGTGGGGCGGGCTGGGTGTGGAGAGGGCCGGCAGGTTCCTAAGGGTGACCGTGGAGGGCATGAGACAGAGGGTGGCCGAGGGGCTCAGGCTGAGACCTTCCAAGTTTAACCTGGACCGTGGGCAGAGGTTGTAGCTGGACCTGCGGGGCAGCACATCCACACCGCAGAGGCCCAGGCCCGGGCCCTCAGGAAGGAATAGGCTGGCGAGCGCAGTTTTACTGAAGACTGGGGGGCTCAGGACGTTGGTGCCAGAGTGCAGGTCCTCAATCCCTGTCACCGCTGTGGCAGGCAATGAGTCTGCAGCAGTGGGCTTTGGGCCCGGCCAGAGCAGGATCCGTAGCGGGTGTAGAGCTGGGAAGGGGAGGCTCTTTCACGGGAGAGAACAGAGAGTAAGGGGTGGATTTGGGCAGGGAGAGTCGCCAAGGGATTGAGTGAAAGCGGCTTGAAGGGGTGGTTTGGGACAGCAAGAAAGCTTCTGAGGCAGGGCTGTTGGGGTGAAGGGGAGGATGCTGGAGAGGTCAAGACCAGATAGGGGGTGTCTCCGTGTGGCCCAAAGCCTCGGCCAGAACTGAGTTGTGCCTGAAGTCACCCCGGGGGTCATGGAGGGCCTGTAGGGCCGGGGGGGGGGGGGGGGGGGGGGGGGGGGGGCGGCGCAGAGGCCAGGCCCGGGCCCTGCCTCAGAGAACACCTCCCGACACCACAGGCCCCGAAGAGAGCAGAGTCCTGGGGCTCCAGTAGCTGCGTGCCCTTGACCTAAGCCATGTCCTCAAGCTGTGGTGGACTCAGCTTCTCCGCTGGCCTGTCTTCTTCCATGGCGTCCTCCTCCTCTGGCTCCTCGGTATTCCGGGCCAGGCTGTCAGGCCCAGACACAGTCCCCAGCACTTTGGTGCTGTGCTCCTGAGCTCTGGCTCGGAGCGCCGCAATGCTGTTCTCCCTCAGTTCCTCCTGGGACATGGCCGCTGGAGGGTCGGGGCCCCGCTCCTCCGGCTCCATCTTGTCGAGTTTGGGCAGGGCCTGGCGCTCCACCTCGGGCTTCCTCCCCGACTCCGCTGCGGCCTCCAGCGACTTTTTGTGCATCCCTAAAAAGAATTGTTGGTATTCGGGTTTAGAAAAGCGCCTGGGAAAGCCATCTTGAACTGAAAACAGCAAAGATAGAGAGAGGCCAGAATTAAGGACGAGCAGAAAGCCTTACTTCACACACCGCAGTCACGCGAGTCCCAGGGGCTGGGGCTGGGGCAGCGGGAGGGAGGCCAGGGGATGGGGCTACAGACCAGCAGCCGGGCACCAGGCCTGCAGAGGGCTTCTTCAAGTCAGGTTCCCCGGCACCTGGGCACTGGGCAGCCTATTCTGTCCCTTCCTAAGCATAGCACTTGCCCCCCACCCCCATCTCTCCCTCCCAGGATTCCAGATCTTAGAACCCCACGATAGGCTGGTGCTGCTTACCAGACATAGGCCTTGAGGGCAGGTGGGGGAAGATGGCAGGAGAGATTTAAGGGGGAAGAAGTCCTCTGGGAAAAACCAGAATGGTGGCCACAGGGACCTAGGGGTCCCCTGAACCCTCAAGAGGGGCGGTTTCACTCACCACAAGCCCACCTTTGGCCAAGGGGGGGAGGAAGGTACAGACCCTGGGGCGACAGCCACACCCTTATCAGAAGACAAAAGAACCCAAGTTCGGGGCCTGGCAGGGATGAGAGTCCTAGCCACCCAACAGGGGGGCACAAGGGATAGACACCGAGCCCTGGGCCCAACCTGCCCTCTGAGCCTCCTAAGGATGACGAGGAGGGCTGTTTTGGAGTGCCTGTGTCCTGCTAGGCTGTTGTGGCCAGGTCTCCCTGCTCCTGGGTTCTGTCCCCTCCTCCAGGGAGCCCGCTCTCCTCACCACAGGGGCAGGGCCCCAAGGAGGGTGCGGGCTCTTACCCAGCAGCCACGGGGCACAGGAGTCCATGATGCCATCCTTGGCAGACTTGAGGATAGACTCTGGCAGGGGGATGGAGTGCCGCACCATGGCCCCATAGAGCCCGTACTCCGCCATGACGCTGCTCCGGCCCCAGCACTTCTCCCGTTTCCTCCACTTGGCTCTGCGGTTCTGGAACCAGACCTGCAAGTGAGGATGAACAGGTCAGGGGCGTGTTCTGAGAGACGCTGAGGCCAGGCCCTTACCTCAGTGTGCCCACTGGGAAGGTCCCCACCCCTTTGCTGGCAGCCGCATCCCCTTGTGAGGGCTGGTCTCTCCAGCAGGGTGTCCTTACTTAAGCTCCCCCGCCCCACGGTGCCCCTGGGGTTCCTCCAGGCTCCAAGTGCCCAGAATGAGGACACCCAGTCCTGTAAGAATACGATGGGTGAATTTTTTTTTTAATATTTTCTTTTTTATTTTTGAGAGCGGAATAGAGAGTGCGAGCAGGGGAGGGGCAGAGAGCAATGGGGAGAGAGGATCCGAAGTAGTCTCTGCAACGACAGCCCTGGGGGGGGAGTCTGGGGGGGGGGGCTAGAACTCCTGAGAACCAGGTGATCACGTCCTGAACTGAGGTCAGACACTCAACCCAATGAGCCACTCGGGTGCCCCTCTTTTTCTTTTTTTCTTTAAAAAAATTCTTTAACGTTTATTCATTTTTGAGAGACAGAGAGAGACACACGTTGTGAGTGGGGGAGGGGCAGAGAGAGTGGGAGACACAGAATCGGAAGCAGGCTCCAGGCTCTGAGCTGTCAGCACAGAGCCTGACCTGGGGCTCGAACTCACGAACTGTGAGATCATGACCTGAGCCGAAGTCGGCACGCTCAACAGACTGAGCCACTCAGGCGCCCCTTTTTCTTTTTTAAATCGAAGCAGTTCTAAGGTGATGGAATAGAGGCCTCATGACAGGGTCTTGCAGGTGGACAGTCCCCAGCATGGTCCTCAGTTCGCCTCTGAGAAGCCCCACCTGGATAGCTCTCTTGCAAGTGTGCATGCCTCCAGCATATAAACAGAATCTCTTTGTGACTCGCAGAGGGACAAATGCCTTCCAAGGGCTGGACTAACCGCACCTCTTGTTCAGGGCTCCCTCTCCACCACAACTCCAGGGGCCAGAGCTGTCTGGGAAGCGAGCGAGGGTGGACCCAGGCAGCAAAGGGCATTGCACCTAGGGATCAGGAAGCCGGGGGACACACTCCCAGGAGGCCTGAGTCAGCCCCCTTTCTCTGCCGTATCCTGGCTAAGCCCTCCTCTGCCCTCCATCCTCCATTCACCCTCTCCCCCACAGTTTTGGATCTAACCCTGAATGACATTTAGGGGAGCTGGGCATCCATCCCTCAGGTTAGAAGACAAAATTCTCCTGGTGTGCAGAGAAAGCGGGGTGCAGACCTAGGAAGGTGCAGTGGGGGGCACCCTAGAGATTGTTTCTCTGGCCCCAAAGCTGACTGGTACAGGGCATGGGGTACCCTCGGGGTGTCCATAGCACTCCAAGCCGGTGCTTGGGGGAAGGTAGATTCCTTGGTCTCCCAAAGCAGCTTTTCTGAGATTTCCGGCAGCTGCCAGGAGTCAGCGCTAGGGACAGCTGCACTGTCCCTCAAGCAGGTGAGAGGCCCTGGAGAAACCAGTGGGCGCTGTTAGGATCCCAGGCCCGGCCAACGGCCCCCTCTTGGCCCCCTCACGGCCCCTCCGGGCCCTCACCCCCGGGATGGCGAGACGGCCGAGACGCCCCGGGAAGTGGGGGGATGAGGGGGAGGACAGAGGCGGGTTCCGGGAAAATCTATTAGTTTCCTCTGCGATTTCCATTCCCTCGCCTGCGCGGGGTCCCCCGCCCTTCCCTCCGGGCCCCTCCCCCTCCCCCGGAGGCGGAGGTTTCAGCTTTTGATGAAAAATTGCTCCAGCTCTATTCAGGAGGCGGCAAAAGAAGAGTCACCCCCAGGGGCAGCCCTGGGCTGATTGAAAAATAAGTTAATTTCTGTTTGAATCGATGGGCCTCAGGCACTGAAATATCACGGGAAATTAAAGCGGCTGCTCTCTCGGGAGCCGCGGCATTGACCCGCACTAATTAATGCTGGGGAGGCAGCGCGAGCCGCGCCGCGAGCCGCTCCCCCTCCCCGGGGGACCCCAAACACTTCTCATTTAACTAATTAGACGGGGAAAATTGGGTGTTAATTTGTTTAGGATTTTTTCCCCTCTTCCCCCCGGCAGCTCCCACCCCAGCCCCCACCCCGCGCGGGGGCGCGGGAAATGAATGCGGGGCTCGCCGGCAGATGGCTGCCCGGGTCACTCTGCAATCTTCTCCGACTTGATTGCTTGATTAGGTCGTTAGCACATTAAAAAAAAAAATTGCTTGCCGTCTGGCGCTGGCGTGATGAGTGGGACGCGCGGCAGCGCCTGGGTAATTTATCTTTTTATACGGCAAAGAATTTGATTTCAATCTGCAGATATATGGGGCGCCTTTGACACCTGTTTAACATCGCGCCGCTGACAGTTTAACCCTTTGCTGTCTCGGCCGCCGGGAGGCCCCGGGCGGGGGTTCGGATCCGCACGCCCCCGCCGTTCCCGCCGCCGCCGCTATGTGGCGCAGTGAGAGCCCCGACGGCCCCAGGTAGCCGCGAGTCTACGGCTGCGCGCGGTCGGCCGCCTACAGCAGAGGGCGCCCCGGCAGCCCCGCCTCGCCTCCTGACAACCTCCCCAAAGCCCCGTGGTCACAGACACCCTCTTCGGGGCTGCGGAAAGACCGCACGCTCCACGCACACCTTTAAATAGACCCAAATGTGTGTGACCCTGTTTTGAAACATCTCCATTTGTAAACAACCAGGAACCCATAAAAACGGGAGAGAAGAGGCCCAAGACGCCCTGGGCCTCGCCACCCGCAATTAGAAAACTGTCTCTCGTTCCACCCTGGGTGGAGCCGCCTGCGGCCACCTGCACTTTTGCCACCACCGGGTTTGGCACCTGCCGTTCCTGCTCGGGCCCTCCTGGAGAGCTGCGGGGCCAATGTGCGGGACCTTTCCCCTGGTCTGGACCCAGGACCGCCAGGAGGGCCCCTGCCAAGGAAAGGGTTTATGCAGTTTGAAAGCCACTAGATGGCTGCGCTTCGTGTGCTACAGAGCGGAGATCAGCAATGCAAGCCCAGGCTACCTCGCCCATCGTCCTGGCCTGGCTCTAAGCTGTTTAGATCCCTCCCCAGCGCCACCTGTCTGTCCTGCAGGCGCTCTGCCCGACTATCTGCCAACCCCAGTGCCTGCGATTTGTGAGACCTCTGTCTTGTCCTGTCTTCCTTCCCAATAGCCCTCGGTGGCCCTCTATAAGTACCCACTTGTCTCAAGCTGCCTTGTTCCATGGAGGATAAATCTAAAAGGACTAATTCACATAAAAATGTAAGTGACTTCTGGTTTCATCCACCTCTCAGAGAAGGCAGAAGGATGAAGCCGTTGGCGATGGAGCGAGGCACCGAGTCTGACCACAGAGAGTTGGGAAGGCTTTCTTTATGAATCTAAGTAAGACATTTACTTCCTGGTCAGGAGCTAACCTTCTTGCTTGAATATAGTGCATTATAAAACAACAAGACCACAACCTCCTAACTGGAACCCATGCAGCCAGACTCCACCATGTTTTGGATTTTAGAAAGAAAATGTGATGTAAATACCACCATTACATGGCATTCTACTGCAGCAGCACACCCATAATCAAACTCATTAGTTTGGATTTCTGCAGCAAAGCATATGCATATTCATACTAAAAAGGATAAATAGGGGCCCCTGAGTGGCTCAGTCGGTTAAGCGTCTGACTTCAGCTCAGGGCATGATCTCATGGTTCGTGAGTTCGAGCCCCGCATTGGGCTTTGCGCTGACAGCTCAGAGCCTGGAGCCTGCCTGCCTGCCTGCCTTGGATTCTGTGTCTCCTCTCTCTGCCCCTCCCCTGCTCAGGCTCTGTCTCTCTCTCTCTCTCTCAAAAATAAATAAAACATTTTAAAAAATAAAATAAAACAGATAAATAAAAGCATAGGGAATAATAAAGAGCATAAAGTTGGGTCTGGTTTTTGCCATTAGTGAGTTTTGGATGACGCACGTAGGAAAGAACCCTGTTTTCAGCATGGTTTGGCATTATGGATTCTGGAGAAGGGATTGTGGAGTATGCAAAGGCAGAGACACCCCACCCGCCCCAGTGTGGATGCCTGGGAAGATGCAGCGCTCTGACTTCCTCTGGATTCCATGAGCACTGGTGCTTGGGGTGGGGGGCGGGGGGCAGAGAGCTGGCGGGGGGCAGGGCTCTCACATGGAACCAGCATTTTTATAGGAACACTAAAGAAGGGGGTACAGACTTGGGATTCAGATTATCTCTGGGGCCTATAAACAGAACCATTTTCCTGGGTCTCCTAATTTGGGCAAATGAATAACCGGTCTGCAGATCAGACTTAGCCCACAGACATTCCCAGGGGAGTTGGTGCCAGCTGGTCGTTCAAACCAGGAGTCATCCGGACCCTCGGTTATGGGCTCCTGGAATGCCTGGCTCTCTGCAAAGACCAGATGCTGCTCCAATTTATGGAGGAAACCTGGACAGCCAAAACAATTTCTTTTTAGGACAGTTGGCAGGGACGCGGTGGCGGTGGTGCCTCGGAGGGAAGTGGACAAGGAATGAGCATTAACCCTAACCACTCTTCATATTTGCCTTTCTCTTCCCTTCCTGGAAGCAACCAGCATGTGTACAGAACTTTGAAGTGTACGAGAAGCACTGAAGGCGGACAGTCCTGAACGGGAATTCTCAGCTGTGACAACGACTGCTGTGTGACTTGGGGCAAGTTCCTTGCCTTCTCTCAGTCTCCATCTCTTCAAATATAAAACAATACCTATTTTTCAGGGTTGTTTGAGGATTGGTGACAGAAGTGAAAGTTTCGAACATCCATGCTCATCACACAGAAGGTAGGTGTTCAGGAAGTGCTACTTGTTATTTCAATGGAGGCACAGAATAGCAGCGGGAGTCTGCCCAGAGGGAACGTTAATCAACAGCATTACCTGCCCCTCTGGCCTCCTCTGCATGCCCTTTAGCAAGGCTGGACTGACAATAATAACTCCAGAAGAGGGGCAGAGAGACAGAACCAACCTTCAAACCATGCTATTTTAATACAGACAGCCTCTGGTTTCCCCTTAGGCATCCAGAGGGCCCAACGGATTTCCCTGCCGCTCTCAGCACATGTGTAAGGTATTGCAGGCCCTTGAGGCTCAAATGCAAGAGAACACCCATGCAGGTGCCCAACGCTCCCTGCAAATTGGCCGTGATCAGAAGCGAGGAAGCCTAGGCCCTGCAAATTGGCCATGATCAGAAGCTAGGAAGCCTAGGTTGGAGATCCTTGCTCTGCCTCCAACGGTCTTGGTGATCTTGGGTGCATTTCTTAGCCTTTCGAGCTTTGAGTGCCTCATCTGTCCTGTAATACCACCCTCTTGAAGGTTTGTTATAAACATGAAATGTAGCAGTGCATGGGAAATGCCTGGCACGTAATAATAATTCAAGACCCCTGGCCTGATGCTGGATGAATTCTGTGGATAAATGTGCAGCAAGACGAGGTTCCGCTTTCCAGAAAATGCTCAGTGGAAAACTTTTTACCTAAAGCCAGGTCCTTCCTGGCCCCGCTCCCACCTCTGAGGTTCCTTCTAAGCATTTAGATCTTTTTCCCTACTTGGTCTCTTGGTTCTAGCAAGCGCCGAATACTCCTTCAGTTGCTCACTCCTTCAGTTTCCTGGCTGCCCACTTTCTAGAAGAGACTGCCCCTCTCATGCGACGGTCAGGTCTGGAACTCTTCAGCAGAACCTGTGTAAAGGTCATGGTCCTCACCTGCCTGACACTGCAGGGCTCTGAGTGCCTGAGCAGGGACCCAAAGTGACGCCCATAGTCGCCGGATTTGGCACTCCAGGCAAGAACTTCCGGCTTGGGAAAGGATCTGGGTTTCCTGGTGCATTTCCCCTCAGAGGTGGTGCCCCAGCAGCACTCAGAAAGCCCAGTAGGATGCCTCTGGCTGTCAACAGCTAGTCTGGCAGGTGCCTCCACAACTGGCAGAGAGGGTCCCAAGAGTGTGTGCCTCCATTGATAGACTGGACCTGGGGAGGGGTACTTGCCAAACAGGTGCCCTTCTGCCATAGGGCGCACTCGGAGCAGACCAGGCAAGGCTGTCAGCCATTTCTCTCGCTGTGCGTGTGGCCAGCGTGAGCAGCTGTGGTTGTGCCCATGGCTTCTCTCCTGTCCTGGAAGCTCCCATCTTTGCATTCCCACCGGACAACATGTCCAGGGCTCCTTCCCTCAAAGGTCTCCCAGGAGACCCTCTGTGGTTTTCCCAGGACTGTCCCCCCTAAAGGAGACATCTTGTACAATGGATGCTCTTTGCACATTCTGGGCACTTGCCTCCCCAGGCCCCGCCCTCCAACCTTGTCTTCCTGCCGTCAGGCCTGGCTCTGTCGGCCATGTGGCAGTTCCCATCACATTCACCCAGCTTCTTTCCTCTCTCCTCCGGCTGGAAGCTGATTAATTTGGGCTCGTTGCTGCAGTGATTTAATGACTTAACACTCCACATGCACTCAGCATTCCTGACACCATATTTCAGCGTCTCCCTTCCTGTCCCAGCTTCAAGCTCAGAGAAGCTGGGCCTTGCTGCAGCCTCTGACGTCCAGTAGGGGGCGGCTTTGCCCACATTTCCCAGTAGCCCAGGCAGCATCCTTCCGTGCACACCTGACAGGTCATCTTGTCCCTCATCCCGCCCTGTCACCCCAAACTCTACTTCCCTCCACTCATATGAACCCACCTGAAATGCAGAAACTCCTTTCCTGAGCCTCTGTCCCAGCATTTTTACTTTGGCTGCCCACAATCACCTGGAGAGCTTCAAAAACATACAGATGCCCAGGTTTCACACCAGAACGGCTGGGCTTGGAAGCCCAGCATGGGTGTCTTCCAAAGCTGCCCTGGGATGCTAATAAATGTTCCAGGCTGAGACACCCTGCAGCCTTCTGTCAAGGTACATCTTCTATCTTCTGGAGTAAAATTCCTTAAAACTTTGTTCCCTATCCTTGGGCAGGGATCCCTTTAAAGGAGGCAGAATGGGGGACGCCTGGGTGGTTCAGTCGGTTAAGCATCCGACTCTAGATTTCAGCTCAGGTCATGATCTCATGGTTCGTGAGTTCCAGCCCCACATCAGGCTCTGCACT